GGGCAAGTACCTGCCTAACATCGTTTAAAAGTAAAAATTAAACTATTTATGGTGGTAGATAAAACCCTAAAATAAATATTTCCGTAAATTGTCGATAATGATACCTAACTCAATAGTTTTACTGAACACCACAAGCTGAAGGCGCTAGGTCAGGGGTCCACACCAGATCGCCAGTGGGTACGTTGTGCTATCTCTCGTAACAACCACTTAATTAAACTTATAAACACCACGAAGAATCGACCATTGAGCAAACATATTTTTACAATCCTACGTTCCCGACTTTCTGTTTAACTGGTTTTGGGATCTTCGAATGACATCAATGTCAAACTCTATCATGACATTTTTAGTTGATGTTTACCTTCGTGGTTTATAGTCAGTGAAATGCATTCAGTTTCTTCAGTAACTTTGCGTTATATCTCTATATTTCAAGAAGATTATCGCCCTCTATAAGTTATTGTACTATCAGCACGTACAGTACAAAAATTAAATAGGGTAAATATGGCCATGATGCATAAAAATAGCTTATATTCTCCGTCATTGCACCAAATGAGCCATACGACTCGTACATCTAAAAAATCCTCTTGAGATATATGACTGTAGAGTGTAGTGCCAATAAAGTGCCACTGGGCCCTAGCTAAATCATCCGGCAGTCGGATTACTTAATGTCAACCAGTTTATCGATCCTCGTGAAATTCAACGACAACCGACGCACATCAATTGATTGCACGCCATGGACTGGTCCATGCGGTGATAGTCACACTCTCTCCCCTGTTGCTCTTAATAACGTATCTCTGCAATAACGTCTTTTGTGTTAGACGGTCTTCAAATCAGCCATAGTACCTTGGTACGACGGAAGGGTAGTGCACAATGGGTGCTGATCGCGATTCATGACCTCGAGGTTAGCTGGTTCGTCGAGCCATTCCTGTCTAACCAGAGAATGCCCCCCATCATTCAACACTGATCGTCCACGTTAGTGATCTTCAAGAGTAAGCACAATGATTTAGATGAAGGTTTTCCTGTCTAGAATTTGTAAGTTTTGGAGCTATTAACTGGACTTGATGTTGACGATTTTGAGCCCGTCATTTAACTGCAAATTAACGGAATCTTAATAATGGTAATGAAACAACGGTCCTATTTAATTCATGTGACTGTAAATTCCAAAATAAAGCAGTCTGCAATAAGAAATGACTGTTAAGGTCAGTTTAAGTGCGAGTCGTCCTCTAGTCAAAGCCAAAAACAAGGTGAGCGGGTAAATTATGGTCCTAAACAGTTATTCAACCAATAATTGTTCAATCAGTAGTCAAATCAAATGCAAAAAGTAAATATCTAGGTTGTTCAAAAGGTGATACTTAACATTTTTATGACATAGAGTGCTTACAGTTTTGGAAAAGTGCCTTAATTCACAGCCAAAAATGCATAGCTCTAGTTATTTCAAGCAGCACAAAAGGGGGATCAAATTTATATGGCGGCCGCCGTACTTAGATATCAAATAAAGTAACGTATATGTGATTCAGGAAAGACATTAAAATTCGGTGAAATATATGAAAACAAAACTAGAATATAATATAAATGGTACTATATCCATTGGTATCAAACGATCAACGAAATATACATCTGAATGAATCAAGAACATATTGCAACAGCGTGTACGTGGAGGGATTTTTGTTCACAAACTTTTGGAAAGAATCTTACTTAACCTCCGTCCAGAAGTTCAACCAACGATAAATTAGATATAAAAGTTGGATACGAACGTATATTTCAAGCACTTGGTAATGTAGTTGAGACAAAGAGAAATGGATGGGAATTTGAGTAGCAAACACTGCCAACTCTGTGAATAGTATGTATGTACAAATTTATAAATATGAGGGATGTAAAAGAAAATTTTTAAACACATACATACAATCATACAATTATGCCCGATATCATCTTCACAAATGATAGTGATTGAAAAGTTTAGGATAATTCATCCGGTCAAATATTAGAACAAGTCACCCTAGCATGTGGCAGCAATAGTTGCTACAACGTCACTCCTCAATCAGTCTTTCGAAGAATGACTCAACATTTTCTTCAGTTTCGTAGGTATCAAAAGCGATTACTCAAGCTGTTACTCCAAAAACACACCTTTCAGTAAGACCATTTATATCCTTTACATTCTTAAGTACCAAGGATAAAAATACAGCTTTCTGTAACCGAAATCTTGTTTTTATCACAAAGAATAAGGACTTAAAGGACAATACTTACTATAACCACCTAGCAAATTTTACATTTGAAGTTTGAATACACTGTACGTAGCGCTACTTAACCGCGAGGTCAACATCCAAGAGTGTGTCATGGCTAAGAGCAAAAACCATACGAGTCATAATCAAAGTAAGATGTATTACTGCTCACTTCAATTGTATGTGCAGATCGAAAGCAACACCGTAACGGTATCCATAAACCAAAGAAACAGCGATATCCGTCACTTAAAGGCGTAAGTTCGTCATTTTAACACATCAGTTCCATAGGTTGACCCTAAATTCTTAAGGAATATGAGGTTTGCCAAAAAGCATAATAAACGCGGGAATAAAAACTTACAACATGCACTTACTCCTACAGTAACAGAATCTAAATGATTTTATTGAGTGTAAAGGTGGAATAAATTCAGACGATGTAATGCATCTTTTCTTTATTGTCGTACTCGTTTTCTTGTTGTAACCTAAGAAGTACGTGACCTATGTCCTTGAGGATTTCCGCCCTGTTAGGCCCATGGAATTCTTAAGATTTAATTAACGATCCCCACGTCATTCAACAGCACCTTTTGCTAAATACTGTATGCTTCCGACTCAGGTGAAGCTTCGTAGGTGTATGCGGCTTTTGGGCCTTCTATTTATAATATGCTGAACGGGAACGAACTCCAGGTTTTGAGTCTGAAATGTCAAGTTCGTTACACTAGTATGTCAGTTTGAGATACGACTTAAATTTTCATACCCCAGAGCTCAAATAGGTCGTCTTTTGTGTATAATGTTTCGGCACGTGTATTAGTGTTGTTGAGAGTATTTATTGGCTAGGTCCCTTCTCAGGATAGTCATAAAGCATAATTAACGCTGATATAGACTGGATAGAACCACCTATTGCTTCGTGTTCCTAGTAGCGTCACCGAAATATGAATGGCAGAGATTCTGACTAGTCGCTTGAGGTCGCATTCCTGGCTACATGCAATATTTGTAACTAAACCATCCAAATATTAACGCAATCAGTTAAAAGCGTCTACAGGTAACCATGGGGTGTCCTAGAAGATGACAGTTGTGTCTGGATATATACTCACTAAGTTTTTTCAACATCTCTACGTGTGTTAGTAAACATCGGTAAGTGTGAGCACAAAGCTCAAGTCCCTATGTCAACATACTTAGGACTACATGTCACTCAGTTGTCATCCTTTGGATATTCTCCTTGAGATAAGTCACATTCCCAAACAATTTGTGTACTGGAGGCCATGGGTTCCTGCCCAAAGATTTCTAGTATTCCTGCGAACGTGTGTATTAAGGGTTGTTTGCGCTGATGATTTCCACGCAGTGTAAGAACTAACGCCTTGTAGTTTTGTCGAACAGAAAGGAACGACAAGCTGATATACTACACTACGTATCGCAGTTCTAAGGAGTCAACCAATTTCGTGGACAATAGCCGTAGGCTCAACAGATTATGAGAGTTACAGCCAGTTAAAAATCATATAGGTAGACTGTCATAGTCTTACGTTTCCTTCATAGATTATTGGCATTCGCAAACCCAGAGTGCGGATGGGTTATTGTGAGGTATCAGCTTCTCCAGTTGTATTGAAGGAAAATTCAAATCTTATCTTATTCCTACGAGTTAACTTCTTGGGACCGGACTCATTCTCTCACTGAGTGTTATAACTTTATTCATGGTGCTTCCCTTCAGGTGAGTCAAGAGAAGTTCCGTTAAGACAGGTGTGTATTGTCGCTGCGGGGTGTATAATAATATCCCCGTAGTGTTGTATAGATGAAGTACTCATGGGCCAGTTATACTTTTTACTGTTTATCATTCGGGTTCTAGTAAAGCATTACTTGACTAACACGAGTCCCGTGGCGATAATTCCAAGAATGTCTGTGACGGGACATTTTAGCCTGTCGTTATGAAAATGAAGTATCAAACTACTTACTGTTTTTTGGATGGTGCATACTCGAAAAGGGCTGGGTGTATCACGGAGATTTCCTGGGAAGCAATGGCGTTCAATATCCCACTGAAGTGCTAGGGATAATTGTCTCTTGCTGAATTAGGTTTTAGGCAGAGTCATGACGTAATTTATGCTAACCACAAAGGCAAGTTAATGGGGATAAGTGGTGCGGTCAGACCTAATTTCTGCAATATCTGATCGTTATTGTTATATCAGACTATTCCTATTGAGAAATACCTAACGCAGTGGTTTTTATCCGACTGCTTTCATTGAACTATAGGTCTAATTTAGCCCCAACTTAGTAGCTTCACGATTATAGGAGTAAATGGTTCATAGCTCCATATTTGGGACCTTAGGAGAAACTTCTAATAACAATGGTCATGGTACTTATTATGTAGTGAAGTAATTAGACAGCTATCGATAAAGCCGTTGCTTATCTAAGAAAGTACTTGCAAATACAAGCAGAAAAGTTTCGAAAACTGAGGTAAAAAGATAAATGAAACGGATGGCTTTTAGTAACGTGTATATGTTGCTTTATCAAATCAACGTCAACCAGAAACCTTTGGTTATGGACGTATATTAACAATGTTCCAGGGTTAGCAGCCATTAACTAACAGAATCTGTTGTTATATCGAGGCTATAGATCTTAAATTCAATTTGGTAGCGAGAGTGATGCGAAAAATATTTTATAGCAGTTTCTTGCTGCATTGTATATAGATTCTAAATGGCCTAGCAATTCAACAGTCAAGTAGTGGGCAGGTGACACTGCTCATACTCGTTTCGGATGACTCTTCAACAAATGACGCAAAACCAACCAGACTATTTGTACCATCAATAAAGGTTGTAAGTATTTAACAAAGAAATTTATAATCCTGCCACAGTTACATTGTTAGAAATCCTAACGATGTAGAAACAAGTTTTGTTCAAGATAAAACCTTTAGCAAACAATCTATATAGTCGCGACGTTCTTCATCAGCTGGGTCATTCATTTTGCGAAGCTCGTCTAAGTGCCGTTGTAGCCAACTAGGAAATGATTTGTACGATTCTTCGGACTGTATATTTGTAGTATAACTTGAGTGACTACCTAATGGACGGAGGAGAAATGATAAAGCAGCCAGTAGGTGCTCCTGTGGATCGTCTAGGAGATATAATAGATCTATCACTTTGTGTACGATGGACGAAGATTCAGATGCTGAAACATGAATGTATTTCTTTGATAAGTGCAACAAAAAAGAAAAATATCTGAATAGAAACTGGAAAATGCAAATACTACTGAAATGCGATAAGAAGAATAGAAGTAACTAACTTATCTAAACGTAGATTTTATTAAAAGAATTGACGCGTAAGGAATCGGCTTGGGTGCCAAATGGAGCATGCCGATTCTTCTCTGTGATCATTTAGAACCTGAGGACTTTAGAATACTTTACGCTGAGAATTCTATATTGTACCATAAATATAATGTTGAATAAAGCTGATAATAATAATAATATGCTTTCTTCGCAATCCTAGTGTTATTGTATCTGTACGCTTGTTCTGATATTTGTCTTGCGGACATTTATGTTTGCATTATTTACGTTTTTGGTCCAGTTGAGTGCACCGGTCAAAGACTTGAGAGAACGAGGAACACTACAAATCTCAATGGCTTCTATCAGCCTAAATGAAATGGGTCACTCAAGACATTTATAGTGCAATTAAGCCTATACAGGGAGATGAACAATAGAGCATACCAAACTAACAAAAATCTGACTAGGAAGCCTGCAGTGTCCCGTCCGCTTAAAATCAACTAATTAATTGAGCTGACTAATAAAACGTGATAGAACCAAGAGTACACGTCGAAATCTAACAGAAATTATGAAGACATGCCTTGAAATCAGTATCAACTGCACAGATGTTCATTTTTAAAATCTTAGGTTTAAGTATCCTTCTGAATATCTTACTCCTCGATCCCATTTATTCCGTTGAGACTATAATCTTTGACTATTTTTACTATAATTATTTTGCCTCTCGGATTTTATGCGGTTCGTTTCTCCTTACTGCATGGACACGAAATTTGACTTCAGACGATGCGAACTTTCAGTAGGTTATATGTTGCTCATGACTGGCTATTATTATTATTTGAACACATAAACGTTGGTACAACGGCGAACCAAACACATGCGCTATACAATAACAGTGAAGCCAGTGGTAGTTATAATTGGTTTGTGTGAGGGCTGTGATACTGCCCGGGTGACCAAACCGAAGCACGAAGTTGTAATCAGACATCAATACTCTACCAATTTTTGTTGGGTGGGTTTTCACAGCGAATCCATATGGTTTAGCAGAAATCGTTGTTTCTACCCTTTCTAAATTAATGAAGTGAGCTACAGTTATGGGATATTTTCTGATTTTTGGTACTAGTACAATTCCAGTGACGTTTATTTGGTGAGACCCGCAATAAAGATAGTCCTTATCAAGAGATTTTTTAGATCCGTGTTTATAGTTTAACTCAGACATATATACGGAGTTTTAACGAAAGTGAGGCGGGAAAAACGAACATCCGGAACTTAACCCGAATTGTTAAATACAGAGGGTCCACCTATGCATATATATATATATATATATATATATAATCTTTAGTAATGGTATACAGAGGAAATAGAATAGTTTGGTTCCGGCTCTCTGCCAACAAAATCCAAACGTCTAACATCCAAATTTTAAAAAAAAACACTAACGGATTGCATGCGAAATATAAAACAAAGTACTCACGTATATGTTTTGAAGCAAGTTCCTGCAGAACACAGTAGACTAGGAACGCACCTTTGGAAACTAAGCGATATGCTTTATCTGATTTTCCTATTTTCACTTCTCTGATAAGTACACTGAGGACAAGATCAACACCCTTTGATTCCACAAATACATTAATTCCTGGCACATAACCTCGTATGGTACCTGTGTGTGATAAATCAAAAACTGAGTATGAATGTCCAAGATAAAAGTATACAAAAAACATCACAAGCTGTATGTGACATAGTGGACTCAATTCGGGAACCACTAAAAAACTATTTAGCATGTTAAACTTCTAACTTCTGATTGAGTTTTCAAACAACGTTCATCACCTCAAAAAATATTAGGACTGCCTATTTATTGATCACACATTGAAACAAATCCACTGTCGTTGAGTTTGTTAATCACTTGGATAGTAAACACGAGATCATCTAGCCTTCGACTTCCATACTTAACCATAGGTTCATCTCAAGTTTCAGTAGGAGTAAATGTACCACTAAAGATTGTTAATTATCAAATAAGATTTAAAAAGTTCAGTATAGTAAATAATGAAGGCAGATTATACAATTCCAGCCTGTTAGTGCCTATATTAATACTCAAGTATATTTATCTTCGCTATCTATGATTTATACCGAAAATCGTACGACTCCCTTGCTGTTTGTTAATGTTATGTATATTAAATATAGGAGATTTGGTTAGTTCAAACTTTTATCAGCCAAACAAACATTAAAATACATTGATTGGTGAAAAATACTCACAGGATATGGCTAGTAACAGATGTCTCAGAAATTCTAGATCTGTCTCTTCTTCAAATAGCATAATTAGTCGAGCCAGGACGCCGTTTTCAGTGTACAAACTTTGAGCTCGAGGATTGTTTTGAGTGATATTTGCTAATAGTTTCAATCCATCTATTCTTAAGGAAGGTGGGCCGCAAAATAATAGTTTGAGTAGTACATCTTGACCTCCAACAATCAAAAAATCGTTCGACAAGTCCAAATCTTCAGTCAGTGTTAACAAATCTTCAATGACATTCTTCGTTTCATTTAAATCGGGCTCCGACGATGACAAATGGGATGATAACATTTGGACATCGTTAGTCAGCTGTTTACTCAAGTCGACAGTTGATGCACTTAGTGCTTTATCCAACCATTCGGCATCCTATTTTTTGAAATCAGCTACTTAAAAGTAGGATTACCTTTGGGTCCATGGGTTTTGTGGCGGCATTTTCAGAATGTTCAACGGCAAGGCGAAGAAGACCTTGAAGGTTCCGAGCCATGAGAGGACTGATAATACTTCGTGATTGAAAAAAAAACACGGATTAGCTTGTTAGTGCAAATTTATAGGGCTAATAAAATAGCCGAGGATTTAGTTCATTTGTGTAATTAATTATCTAATGTCTAGACATTTATCTGAAGTTAACAACCCATAAGATGTAGGTGTAGTTTAAATTAAAAAAACGCTATCTTCACTGGTGAATCGAGAAATTATAAAGGTAGATTATATCTAATAGAGCTTAAACGGAAGATGGAAATATTCGAAATATTTGGGGTTGTACTGATTTTTTTTAAACAGTGCATACGTACAGGTTATTTGGGAATAGAAACAAGAGGTTTACGACTACCAAAAAAATTGAAATAAATCCAAGGAAGTAGTAAAAATCTTCAGAATAAGGAGTTATTTGCTTCACTTGTATATATATTGAACCACGTCACCTAGTTTAAAACATCTTTAGGAAAGCATGTCATTTTATGGCAGAAGTTCATCAGGTGACTTTCTACACTAATACAAATTCTTAATCTGTTTAAGTATAGACATTTTCTAAATTCCACCTACCTACAAATTTAACAATACATCGGCAAGTGCAAAACATGTTCAGTTAAAAGCTTTATGTGGCGTAATTTCTTGACATAGTAATTTGCATACAGCACGGATACTTGACATTCTGTCATTATGTTGCCGGTTTGAACTATTTACTTTAATTACAGTAGTTTCAGCAATGTTCAGATAAGATCTATGACTCAAAGGAAAATACATAGACGTATAGTTGATAAACAAATTACATTAATTTAATACGCCATGTTCACAGTAATGAAGTTGCACTTATACCGTTTTTTTTCAATCATGAATTGTGTTACTACTACCTCTTAATTCTCCTTTATTTCGGAGTCTCTACAATGATTAAATTTCTGCTGTAGTTGAAATTGATCCAATTCTCATTCCGTCAATTTCATTTCACACTATGCTGATATGTAATACAGCAAGTTTGGCCGACATATATTCGTGTCAGGTTCTATATAAGTGCCAACCAACCACATCGAGAGTACTTGTGATCGAGTATATAAAATCTTTGTTTCCCAGTTTCAATGGTCTAATATCTGCGAGGTTGAGGCAGACTGTCACGCAATATCCCTGATCTTCAGTAGAGATAAATATTTTCTTTAAATTATATGGAGTTCCGAGTGGCAATGTCAAAAATTGGATATATCTTCTGATACGTGAACATTCAATACATTTAGTTGCATAAAAATGGAACGATCACATTTAATTAAATTAATGTTTTCAAGATAAAGAGACTCAAGAAAGTCATAAAAACATATTTTCCATTATGGTTCACACTTGGACTTATTCAGAAAAACCTACCACCTAACAGCAACAGAAAGTTAGTGTAATCCAAATCCAAAAGTCTCTAAGTTGGGAGTAGACTCTTGGAAAGGCAATCGGAAGCACTAACAGGGGCAATGTGTTTCAAAGAGTTAAACGGAAATAAAGTGTGTAAGTGTAGTGACAACCACTTAACATAGCTTCTTCAGAAGATAACTCACTCTAAAAGCGATGATATCGCTTAGGAAGTACCATACATAAAGTTTTCACTGCGATAATAACCACCTTGTATACTATAGTTAGTAAAATTTAACATAAATCAATTTGTCTCGTACAGGTTCACACAAGTATTGTGGTTTGCAGTACTGTAATCGCCTTAACGAAAAACATCGCAACATCATGGTAAGCGTAACAGTTCGTGTGACCGACATGTGGCATCAAATATCACAAAGCCATATGTTTAACGTACTATTTTATTCCATGTAACTGCTGGCGATGTTTCCAATACTGCAAGTGTTGATAAATTGACTCAATCTACCGACCCTATGTAAAATTCTGTCAGTTTCAGGGAAGTCAAAACAGAAAGTTTTGGTGAACTGCACTAAAAAACCCAAAATTTCCCAGATTTTTGGAAATATACGAACATTCACACGACTTTGAGGAAAATCCCTGGATTTCCCCAAACTCGGGAGATTGGGAAGGCTATAGTTCGATAACAATGTCATCTAGCTGCAGTGAATAGAATTCATTATTACAACTGAAAACCGTTATTACAATGGACATTTTAAAGCAGAGAACCTGCACACCATTGACAACGTACTAACCTTGAGGCACTGGATGGTGGCTAGGACAGTTATGCGTCCAATGTCCAGGGTATTGGTGACAAGATATCTTAATTAACTTTTTCACACTTTAGTCCTGATGTAGAAATAGAGCTTGTGTCGTTGAGCTTCACGATGATCGATGAACTGTTCGACATTAAGTGACCCGACCGCCGGATTATTTGGCCTGGTCCTGTGAAATGTCACTGAGCGGGTGAATTTATCCGCATCGCAACCATGTAAACTTAATGTATCGCCCAGTGTTATAACGGACATCTGTGCGTTCAAGCAACCATAGATTTTGTCATCTCATAATGTATTTTTAATTAAATAACTAGATTATGTTGTTAATTCTGCTCTGTTTTTAGTTTTTATTCGCCACGTCTGACTGCGTTACACTGTACGTTCATTGCACTCTGGAATGATATCTCAAGTAATAGTGAGCTTAATCACATAGTTGATTGTTTCCAGATAGACCTTCAGTGCATGATGTTACTGAAGAAAGGTTTGTTGTACTGTGAACTATGCTTTTTTAATGAACAACTGACTGTTGTCTTCACTCTCGAAGCAACATATATATCCTTTGTCTTCTCTTAGGTAAGTTCGACTGGACTATATTTCGTGTTTTGGTTTTATCGGCTGAATTATGTTCATTTTACTCCGTTTAGTAACATGTCTGTGCAAATGGAACAATAATTATGACACTTGCTTAGTTTAGTATTCTTGGTTGCCGTATAATTTAGATTAGTCTATAGAATTATAGTATACTTAAGTGTAGTGCTTAAAGCCTGTAACGAAACGGATCAATTTAGTAAGTAGAACTGCCTGTTTTTAATGAGTATAGTGATTGAAATCAGTCTGATTAAAAATAGGAAAAAAGTGCCTTTGGTACTGTTGCTGTCATATATTATAAGATAGCTTTAAGTACGTTTGGTGTTTATTTGTAGACAGTACGTCTAACCCTGTCCATGTCTCAAGACCACTGTCATTAAACAACTTCAACAGCAATAACATCGGTAGCAAGATAGCTAAGTGTCTGAGCTTTTATTTGCCTGCAAAACCGGAGTATACAGTCATAGATGAGGAGTGTTCTGTCTTATTTAAATGCTGCTGGCTGTGGAGAAATGTTAAGAGTCTTTTTGACAACTGGTACTTTTAATTTACCAGACACTAAATCAACTTGTATATCTTCCTGTAAAAGCAGACGCAGATACATGGGAATACTTAAATGGGAGCAAAATAATAAAAGCTGTGTGATGCTGTGCTTTTCACAAGTTGTAGTAGCTGGCGTGATCTGATATTCATGAAGTCGAGGTAAGTCACAGCTGCATAAATTCTTTCTTAGAAACATCTAATGTGCTTATTCACCTTTTCAACATTCTTCACTTAATCCATTACTATCTTTTATTTAGAATGTAACAGGAGTGAGCCGTCACAGATGTTACAGTGTTTCATCTTTAGAACTATGGCCCTATGAAACTTTATGGGAGATCTGTAGTGGCATTGGACAATAACCACACAGTCCACAAAGCTGAACACGAGACTACTCAGAAAATAGATATTCAATATTTAACGCGGAGAAATACCTAACGATGGAGAAGGCGGTAAGAATGTGTTGAGTGAATTGGAGTTGATCGAAAGGCATGGCTCGGCCATGCAGGCGTGGTCCCTGTTAACTTATATCTTTTAACCATATTAAATATATTGTCTTATCTCTAGCCCAAGCTTGTTCTACATCATGTATTGGTAATAGTTATGATGCAATGAGTTGGTGTAGACGATAATGTAACTTCCACGTAAGATCTTATAGATTCGGCAGTTATATCATGACAAATCTACAATTATAGGATTAGGTCTATTATTCGAGCAGTTCTAATATCATAGTAGACCATAGTTCTACAGATCCGCCTAACAGCAGATTATTAAAGCATGCCGGACATCCACTTTCAGTGTTTTGGAGTTACTTCTTATGCCCTTTCGTTTGAAAAAAGAAACGACAGATACAGCAGATTAACATCACCAACGCGACAATGTAGTTGGTAACGTGGTGTAAATCTTTGTTTCATATTCCATTGTTAATTAAAGTTCCTGAATAAATTTGTAAACCTGATGCTATTTCGTTTTATCTAGTTAACCGTTATAAGAATCTTGTGAAACGCGAGCCTCTGAGCACCTAGTTGGTGTGTAGTAAATGTAAGTCACAGCAGTTGATGGATGGACACGCGTTACACATCCCAACCGTCCCTGTCTCTAATCTTAGTTTCTTATTCAAATACCATATGATGAGCAAGCAGTGAGAAACCCCCAATTCCGGGCCTTCTTATAGCCTATTTCAGCCGCCATGACGTGTTGCACAAGTACGTTGACAGGTACGCGTTTAAGCCATAGCTGTTTACTAGGATGCCGTCGGATTTGAAATCAATACCTTAGGTACAATTACGGGTCACTAGTAACGTGAGGTTACGCGCCTGCCAAAACACAACTACAGGCCCATTCAATGTTTTCACCACCTTATACCAAACATAGCAATAAACACTGTATTTAGTGAATATAAGACCTTTATTTAATAAGGTATTAACAAAAACTGGCAACGCAGCAGACGCACATGATGCGATTTGTGTTCATTGAGTATCTGAAATAGAGAGTACAAGTATTAGCTTAATAGATGCATTTATAAATACTTAGATTTTGATTTCCAAAGAACCAGTGGACTTACTATGTTCGGAATCTGTAGGCAGACGCCTCATGCGTATTAATTCATCAACTTGATCTATCAATTGCCTTAGTGTGTCCTGCGCCGTCATCTGTCCGAAAAGTGTACTGAGTGTGTGGATTTTACTGCGTAGAATGCGATACAGCCTGTTCGTTTTATTATAATCTGGAGACGAAATAGCTGGTATATTTACATCTCCATCTCCACAGGCTGTCCAAGTCCATCTGTAACACAGCGTCAAAACTAAATCAACTACTTCATGATACAAAGATGAACATAACATACTTGTGAACTCTGGCATTTGTAGATGTGTAAAAACCATGTGCTTACATGGAATTCGACATGTTTTAAACAAACGGCAGGTGCAAGTCCCGTTGCTTATATAGTCTTTAAGGACTATAGAGCTAGCATAGGTGGTTAGCTTGCTTAGTAGAGGCATTAAGCAATCTTCAGCTACGTATCTACGTTTGTGACTATAGTGTAAGCTGGACTGTAGTGACCTACGTTTGCCTAATTGCCTCTGCCATGTAAATGCCTTCCACATACGTTTACTCAACGCGTCCCCGTTAGACAACTTTCTCTTCAGTTGTCTGTGCGCACTTTCAACCCGGCTGCTGGTGTTGTTACCCAACGTAACGACGTTGCTGTTGAAAGCTGCGGTCCAAGTCCTTTTCCTACTCATCCAGTTCTTGTTTAAGTACGCTGTGATGCGTCTGCTGCGAGCACTGATTATTCGACGTATCTGGTGAAACCTAACTACTGTTTGTTCACGCACCAGTTGACATAAGTACTGCTTGATTATTGGATTGCGTGTCTTCCTACACATAGCTCTGCACACATGGAAAGAGCATAAAGCTATGTGGGCAATACGATGCGTTAATTCAACAGCGGATATGATGGATCTTGCACAATCCATCACAAACGTTTCCGTTTGACTGGTTCCATTCATGATTTTTTTAAAATGATCCAGTATCCATACCACATCAACATTCTTCTCTTCATTGGTCCAAGCAAACATAACTGGGACTCCATGTCCGCAGTTATCTGTACAAACCAACTGAAAGAGTTTATAACTAAAGACATTTAGTACGCAGGAAAATTTTAATTACTTTCCCCTGTTCGTGTTGTATGTATCTTTGTAACCCGGTTAGCCACACCCCCATAAGAAACGAACACTTTTCCATTGTTCTGTAACGTTGCACTTACGTCGTTTACACTTCCATAGCCTAAAATACCGTAGGTATATGGGATAAGCTTACGTCCGACAACTTTATATTTTTAATTATTAACATATGGCACCGTTATTGTCTTTCCAAAATGGTCTTCGGTATACTTAACTATTGAATTTGCATTACTCCCAGTCTCAACCATCGGCCGAACAACCTTCAACTGATCTTCATTTAATCTTCGGAACCACGGATCGTTTTTCACTTTTCATCACAAGGATGGTTATGTATTATCCTCGACGACGATATGACGAACCGGTTCACATCATACCGTAAACGAAACATGGCCTTACAACCACTAAACATTGATCCATGAAAATTGAACACAATAATAATAATCACTCACCCTTTTACTCTTTGACCATGGCCCTCCGGCTTCTTTTTATGGCCAAAAGAACATACGTACACTACATACTCGTGGCGAATTTCCGGCTTTTCTTTGTTCAGCCTGCTTTCAGATACTACATAATGAGTCAAAGTCATCTATTACTTTTTAGATGGTGTATTATCAATAACAAACCTTTCGCAACAGATCGATAGCTTCTCTGACTACTCCCAGCTTGTCAGCTGCCTGGGTCTCATAATCCTTTCGAAGACATCGCCGGTATCCACAGCCAATGGGCACTC